TTTACCTCTCAAAAAAAAAGAATACTATATATATATATTGCTTCTACAATATGTGAAGTTGTAAGTTCTAGCAAATCATTAATAAAAAATCTGTATATGTTAGAAGTTAAGTTGAACTTTACAAGGTCCCTTTTCTCAAACAAGAAAAAAGAAAAAAAAAAAAAAACTTGGCTTCAAAAACTTCATGTAAAAGCATTACATGCATGCATATCTACATGCAAAAATTCCGAAAGAGTTGTATTCTTGTGCCCCATGTACATATACATATTGATACCCATATCTTGGTATTTAGAAAATAACCCAAAAACATAAATCCAGTCATAGATTCATTATCGCCTGTAAATTAGGTATGAATCACTCAATTGATCTCCATGTTGTGCAATCTTGATTTTGTTGGATAGTTAACTGGATAACGTATCTAGTTACACCAAAATCATATCAAATAGGCAAGTTTTAACCCTTTAAATTTAAGACACAAGTATTGATGGGTATGAGATGGTTTTCTCTCCAATTTTGAACTGAGGCCTAAATAAATCACAAATGATATAGAATATATTCTCTTTTGCATCCATCTTTTTTTGTGTGCCCCACTAAAAGAGGGAGAAGTATGTGGAAATGTATTAAAGCAGCCTGCCCTTTGGACAATTTGGGAAGAAAGGAATGCAAGAATTTTTCAAGAAAAAGAAAGAAGCCTCTTTATTGTCAAGGACTGCATTTTGACAAGAACAATACATTGATTGAGAACTATCTTCCTACCTTTTTCCTTCGATGACCTTTGGAGGAGTTGGTCAGCTATGGCAGTTAGTTCTTCTAGGAAAGATACGGTCAATGCAGAATGGGTTCCTCCTCGTAAAAAAAGTGTAAAGTTGATGACAAGGGCAACCTCATGGTTGGAATCTTCACACTTGATGGCGGACTACTCCTTTGATGATTTAAGGAGAAATTGGGCAGCAGTGGCTTCTACAGTCTCCACAAAGAACAAACCACAAGTAGAATGGAAACCCCCACCAGAAGGAATGGTAAAACTGAATTTTGATGGTAGCTGCCAAGGTAACCCAGGGCCATCCGGAATAGGAGGGACTCCGAGAGATAAAGACAACAACATGATGTCTTTATTTTCAGGACCAGCAGGTGCTGGTGATTCTGTAAGGGCCGAGATACTAGCAGTGGTACAAGGTATACAGCTGGCCAATCAACTTGGAGTGGACAATTTGGTAGTTGAAGGGGATTCCAAGGTAGTAGTGGGCTGGCTGACAAATCGAGAAACAGCTTGTTGGGGTTACAGGGATCTGTTAAAGAAAGTTAAATGGCTGACAAGGAATATGACAGTCAGGATTCAGTGGGTTAGCAGATCAGCAAATCAAGGGGTATCAAGGGGAGATCTGTTTCGGGCTACCTTGTAATTGTGTTTCAGGCTTGTGTGTTTTAGTGCTTATAGTTCAGACCTTGGGGGAGGTAACACCTTGTGCCTCCTCCTAGGCTGACTGTACTCTCTTTATTTGATTTAATGAAGTCACTCTTATTTATCAAAAAAAAAAAAAGAAAGTGTAAAGTTGAATTTTGATGGGAGCAATCAGGGTAACCTAGGACCCTCTGGAATAGGAGGGGTCTTGAGAGATCATCTTAGCTTTCTTCTCTGGTCCATTGGGTTTGGGAGACTCTAATAGGGCTGAAATATTAGTGGCCCTACAAGTATTTAAATTGCAAATCAGCTTGGTGTAGAAAATCTAATAATTAAAGGAGACTCTAAAGTTGTTGTGGGGTGTCTGGCAGATTCGGACTCAGTGGTTTGGTGCTACAGGAATCTCTTAAAGAAAGCTAAGTGGTTAATAAGAAACATGACTATTAGCTTACACTGGGTGGGAAGGTTGGGGAATGCTTTGGCTGATTGTCTTGCCAAACCAAGTGGTTAATAGGGAAAATTTGCTTTGTAATATGTTCTCTCCTTGGGATGCCTGTAATAGTTTTCATTATCTTGTTAATAAAATAATACTAAAATTATAAAAAAAAAATGATAGATGGAAAATGGACTTTCTTCTCTTTCTAATCCTTTTTGAACCCCCTCAACCCACCCTGCGGCATATGTGAAAAAAAAATGAAATCCTCCTTTCCTCCTCTTGAGGAGGTTTAAGCCTCCTTGTGCTCGGGAAACTTATGCCTCTTGCGTTCTGAATTACTCCTTACACCTCTAGGCAAGATTCAAAGTATCAATACATATCGACTGATACGTATCATATTGGTGAGTCGCTGATACGCAAAATAAGGGGAGTTTCGAGGTAAGACCTGTTTCAAGGGGTAATCAAGCCTTTAACTGACCCCCTCCCCTCCCCAAACATGCTTGAAAAAAACTAAAAAAATAAAAGCGTGTTGATACAAAATCCGATACGCCAAATTGGGCGTATCGGAATGTATCGATACTTTGAACCTTGTCTCTAGGTAGTGGATCACCTCATGTCATGTCTCCACATTTTAAAACATTGGTTAATGCCACCCCTTAAGGTGTTTGTTTTGAATTTTTTGCATTAATTTACAATATTACCATTTGTCATGGGCCCATGGTCATGGTTTTCTATCATTTGCTAGGGGTGGATTCGAGCCAAGCCAAGCCGAATATCTGGTTATTTGAGCTTGGCTAGACAGAAAAGTATAGGTTCAAGTTCAGTCTCGAGCTCATTTACAGCTAGAGACATGAGATCGAATTTGGTTTGAATCAAAAGCTTGTATGTTCAAGCTCAATAGTGTGCCAAGATTCATATAAAAATAACAAAAATTATACATGTAAAAAATTGTTTATCATTATATATTTAAAAATATTATATATAATATAAGCTTGATTAGCAAATGAGCTTACATATTGGGCTTGAGCTCTACTTGAAGTTCGATTTAAACTAAGCCGAGTTGAACTTTTCATGAACTGAGCTCAAATAGCTTGTGAAATGCTTGGTTTGTGTTCACCTCTACATCTGCCTCAGACTCATGAGGGTTTAAGTTCATAATACTATGGTAATGACTAAGAAAGAAGAGGAAAGCTAGCAAAAGCCATTGTTTGAATTACCCAATAGGCCAATATCAATCTTCCAGTGGTGGTATATGGTATTATGTCAACATGTGATTTGGTAATTAGCAAATGCTACAGATGTTATATAACCGTCTAATGGCAACCATAACATTATGCAAATTGTGCAAAGGGACAAGCAATTGTTTCTAGCCTTGTACCTTGAGAATGCATATTGTATTTGCTGTTGATGGGCATTGAGGAATCCAAATAGTTTGTTTTGTAGTTCAAAGCTATGACTTCCCCATGGTGTAGCTATCTAAGTTAAAGGTTCTTGTAGATAGCTGTGTAAGAAAACTCATGATTTGTATTATTTCTTAGACATACCATCTCGTGTAGACAAAATAAAATTGTTATCACCATTTGTTTCCAACTTCCAAGGTATTCCAATTATTAAAAAATAAATTATCTGAGTTAGTTGCCTTGTCTACCTTCATGGACGATCCTTGAGTGCTCTTGTGGTGACATAACCATTACAAATTGTAAGCAGGCATTGTAAGATACATATTGCCTGGCTCTTGACAAAATGCTTTTGTCTTCACAGGCATTAACACAATCACAGCAATTGACTCAACTAGATTACTTTTTCTTTTAAATGAGTAAGCATTTTATTAATCAGAAAATAAGAGTTACAGGCAACCCAAGGAGAGGCACAAGATGTGGCCTTTCCTTTAAGCTTGATCACATAATTACAAAATCAGATGAACATAATTACAAGGTAGCCCAAAATAAAGAATCCCGAGAGACCCCCTGTTTAGCAAGTGAGTCAGCCATCAAGTTTGCTGATCTGCCTTACCCACTGGACTCTTAACTGTCATATTTCTTGTTAGCCATTGAAAATAAAGACTCAACTAGACAACTTTTTGTAATGAATTGGAATGCATTGGAAACAATACAAGTTGAAAAATGTAAGGATGCTTTGTAAGATGCATGCTGTACAAACTATAATGACTGAAGACGCCATTCAGGTAAACAATTAAAAAAAACGATGCACTTATTTATTTGCTGAAATCTAAGGGGATTTCATACTCCAAAGAAAAATGTGAAAAAATCATCTGATTATCATGCCCCACACATTTGGAAGCAAGTTAATCATCTTTGAACCACTTGAGGGAAAAGGAGCAAGCTAACTTCCAGATATTTTCTGGCCATTGGTACAAGGGCCTGTCTGGAAGCGCTTAAGCTTCTTTGAGCAGCTTTCACTGAGCTGCTTTGAAGAAGCTACTAAAACCAGCTTCACTGAAAAGTCTATCTCTTGGCTGAATGAAAGCATATTTGGGCATTCCAAGTTTTTCACCAAACATAGCTTCTAGGCTTTCTGTGTGGGGCCCACCTTGCAAAGCCAGAAGCTGCTGCATGAAGCCCTCCCAAATGAGCACCAAGTCAGTATTTAACTTTTCTCCCTAAGCACTTTTTTTTCTAGTCATTGGCACTGAATAGAATGGAATGGCGAAACAGGACTAATGTATCTGATCCCATTCCCATATAGTTGGGACAAGGTTTAGATGATGATGATGATGGTGACAACAAACTGAGTCTCTCAGAACTTTTCAATCGGATATTCAAACCTTGAGTTCAACTAAGATATAGCTGAGGATTTGTTTGATAGACTTCCACATCCTTGAATTCATGGAACAAGCTATGACCTCTAAATTACCACCACCAGTACAAGACACTTATCCTACTGGATGGGTAAATAACCATGTTTGGATCAGAATTAGGTAGTATGTAAAGCTGTTTTGTTCTTTTAATATTTCAGTTCTTAACCATAACTTATTTTCTTGATATAAGCATCTGTTATCCACTACAATTTCTTTCCCCGGGTATTCTTCTTTTTCTCAGATGGAATCTACAATTAATGATTTCTTTCCCTCAAGGCCTCTGTTGGAACTGCCTTATTTTTTAGTTTTATACTTTTATCTAAAGATGTTAATATATATACCAGGTACAAGACCTACTGGAAGGACAGTGGCTGATTATCCAACTGCTGCACCAAATCCACCGAGTGAGTCACCAGACCTGGAGGAGCACCTGGATATTGTCATTGATGATGAGGATGATGGGAGAACATCTAACAAGGGGAATGCTGCTGAACAAATGATCAATACTGTGCTTGGTATCAACCAGAATGACACGGATGATGAGATCGCTGATGTAGATGTCAGTGATGATGAGGCAGAAAAGGGCCCTAATGCCGCAGAGGCCTTGAGGGCTCAGGTGAATGCTGAAGAAAGAGATGAGCAGACTTCAAGTTCAAGTGGGAGCAGTGAGAGCAGCAGTGAGAGTGGAAGTGGGAGTGGGAGCAGTAGTAGTGACAGTGAAGCGAGTGATGAAGATTCAGTCAATTCTATCTGAAATATCAAAGTAAGGTGGGGTTAACTTTTATTTAAACACCCCAAATAACAGGTCTAAAGATACAACAAAAACAAAAATGTGCTCTGCAATCGCTCAAAAGGAAAAAATAGAAAAAACAAGTAAAGTGTTCCTCTATGTTAGGGAGCATATTTGGATCATGCAGGAATATTTGTGTAGGGTGCTTTAGTGATTTTTCCTTTCAGGAGTTCTTGGACAGATGATGCATCCACTGTGGTTAGGTTTATTTACTTCATGTAAAAGCTATGTTAGTTGTGTAAAATCGCATTCTTTTCATTAGTCTGCAAGACGAATGTGGGAATTCATTCAAGTTGGGGGTGGGGGAGGGGGAGAGTATATAGAAATTGAGTTGTGGCTTCTTTTTAGCTGAAAAGTATTGTTAATGAACTAAGCATTCTACCTTTCATCAACATTCATCATGAGAATCATCATCAGCGCAAAGATTGCATAAAACATGTAGAACAGTAGAAGAGGGGACATTTTTGCCTACCAAAAAAAAGTACCGAGGCCCTTTTGGAAGACCAAGTTGCAAATTTTTGGCAGAAGGGTTGAGATCCCTCAAGAAAAATGCTGGACGTCCAGCATCCTTGCCCCGTTGTCCCCCTTGGGCCTTAAACCTAATCATTTAAATTTTAAGAGTTCACATCTGCGCCCCACAACACATCTTCACCTTGGGGAACATCTCCCGATAACAAGTACGGGAGATGTTCTCAATACAAGGTGGGAGTGTGCTGTGGGGCATTGTGGGGCGCAGATGTGAATCCAAATTTTAAAGGACAGCTGCCATTGACTGTGGCCAGGACGAGCAGAAACCATGTGCGCATAAGATACCAAGATGGCCCATCCTCTGTATTAGCCTTTAATTTCTTCCAATTCAGGGTCTATACCCTAAACCAGCACCGACCAAGTGGTCAATACTCAATTGACCATACATCTTACCTCTGCACATTCTAGTCAATCCAGGCTGTACAATTTATTCATCAATTTTGTCGCATAGAGCTATACGTTAATTATTATCTTAGCCCTGTCGCCACCCCCCTCTCGGCCTCTCCCATGTGGATGTGCAAAATTGCAAATACCTAAATGCCTTGTCGTAGCTTTTGGCTTCTTTCTATCATATTTCCCAATTATTTCCATTCCATAGATACATCATCTAGCAACTATTGCACTTGTGGAGTCATGCACAGTATCAGAATTTCTAGATGAATGCATTTCTTTCAAAAAGAAATCGAAATTGTAATCCATATGATGGCAGCTGTTAAAGTTGGACGATGACTGCATTCTGTTGTACAAACAGCGATTAATCATGCAACCCTCTTATTCCTGCTTGTCCTGGGCAAGAGACCGAACCGTTGTGGATATAACATCACCAGATTGATCATTAATGTCATTGCCCAACAAACAGAAGAAAGATGTCAAGCAAAGGCCAAATCATAGTTTCTCATATTTTTGGTTCAGAGTTTAAAAATTGCCCATCATTTAGCCCTTTACAAATTGAGTTGCCAGGACCAGGGAGTTCTTAGTTCTACAGAATCCAGACTAACCGGAGTAGCTATTGCAGCAACCGAAACGCTCATTGTATTCAGAAGAAATCATGGGGTCGGGTCTAGATATGCTTCTGAAGCAGCAAAGACACTATTTGAACCATTTTGGTTGGTGATCGATTAGTGCACAAAAACTTATAATCACGCTCCAATTATATAACGACTAATCACCCTTTCATGGAGGCAAATGCCATATCGCCAAGGTTCTCTTTGAAATTTACAGTGGAAGTCCTTTTTTGCTGAAGCTTATATTCTTAGAGTCCATAGGATTGGAATTCGAATTCGAATCAGAATTGTCTATTCCCAATCCAATGCCTATTTGGTTGTAATCGTAGTAATTCCAATCATTGTCGTTTGATTTATTTGGAGTTGGATCGAAATCAATAAAAATATTTCAATTTTATATTATTATTATTGTTATTATCATTATTATTTAATTATTAATATATTATAATTTTATAGTTGTATCTTATTATTACTTTAATAATATTTTATTATTTCATTAATATTTGGGTTGGGGAATTTTTTGTCAAGAGTTCTTTACTTCTTAAAAGGAGCTTGGAATCGCCATTCCATTCTGTGAAGAATCCCATTCCGACCAAATAAATTGTTGGTGTGGTTCCGATTCCAGTCACCTATTCTAGGGAACTAAATAAACCCTTATACCCTGCTTCTGCCTCTTGGAGCCAAGGTTGTTTGGCTTTGGTAACAGGAGTCATGTTTTGGCCAGTATGCTATCTTAAAAAGAATAATTCTTGGCTCTGATATGAAAATTTGTTATGGAACAAAGGTGGGTAAGTATCTATTAATATTAACATAGCAAATTGTAAAGGGTTTCTTCCCAGATTTTGCTTGTTAACCAGCAGGCAGCAGCTATATATGTGCATGCACTATAAACATATATCAGCCATCTTTAGGGAAAGACGAACAGCCAGAATGCTATATTCTTCCATTAATTTTGATATTTTTCCCTAATTTTAACATCTATATCAGTAATACGGATTTTCTTCATGGCAAGTCAGCAGTGATCAGTTCTGAGAGACAAGACTAAGGGTGTCAATGGACTGGTTTTGGATTGGATCCCATCCAATCTAAAATCAATTTGGACAGATTGGACGGAGCAACAAGACATATTGGGTTGGACCAATTTGATTCAAAATATTTATTAGATTGGATTGGATCTGGTCCATCCGTAATAAATTTATATTGGATTAAGCCAATATCTACTCCATTCATATAATATAAGAATATATGTGTCAATGGATCGGGTTTGGGTTGAACCAATCTAAATCAAAATGAATTTAAATAGCTTGGACAGTCCAGACATTGAATTGGACTGGTCCAAGTTAGTCTAAAACGTTCATTGGATTGGATTGGACCTGGCCCATTTATAATGGACTCACATTAGATTGGATCGGATTGGACCAAATCCAGTCCAATTGACACCCCTAGACAAGACTGAGATAGCATGGATAATTGTGGGTGCAATCAAACCCTGCATTTGCATGGTTGAAACTGAAAGTGGCACTGGTGCTGGCAGTTAAAGGTGCTTTTAAGGTCGTATACTTGTATTCACATTTTTGGGTCTGTTCTTTTTTATTTTTTAGGTTTTGAGAGGGGAAAGCTGGTCAATGGAATTTTGGTTCTACTGACCAAGAAATCCATGTTACTTTCTATTAGACTTATGTTGTCTATGGAAAATTTATTTTCCGTTTGGATAAATAACTTTCTCACCTGGGGGAAAGTTGCTAATATTTGATGGGATAAAATTGTCCCTTTTAATAATGGCTTTTTAAATTTTTATGACTAAAATGGTCATTATCTTACTTACCTAGAAAACAAAAGAAGATAAATAAATGCACTTACATGAATAAGTGTTTATTGCTAAGTTATTGCTGGTGCCTTTTTAACATTTCATGTAATCTTAACATGAAATCAACATGGGAAAATCTATGATAGTAAAAGACATGATATTAGAAGAACTTTTTGTAAGTTTTGTTTTGATACTATGTCTTTCTAGTATCATAGTCCAATAGCTTCAGTTATAAATTTTCTGGTCAACAATGACAATACAGTCAAAGGTTAATAATGAAAGTACAAGTAGGCATCAATTATACAATCAGCACTCAGTGAGCATTATTTGGTTAAAAAAAAAACTAAATTGAAAATTTTGGTTTCCATTTTTTCACTTTGGTTAATTCAGTTTTAGGGTCTTCTGGTTACTGGCTTCGATTTTCATATTTAAAAATTCAGTTAACAGAAAAAATTGAATTAACCGAATTTCATTTGAGATAACCAAATTTGCTTTTAATCATTTTCGTTAATTCGGTTTTGATTTATCTGATTCGGTTTCTAACCGAATAAACAAATTTCCACCCAAAGAGATCCATCTTCATCCTTTATTTGGAGAAAAGAATTGCCAAAAAGCATGTTTGTGATAAATGCTTTTCTTATGCTTTGGGTAAGTCATATCCTAATTGTTGTAGCTTGTTATTTGAGAGAGACTGGTGGGATATCTATCACTTTATAGTTGCTTTGGATACAAGACACTGCTTATGACGTTAGTCCTCACGCTTTATTTGTGAGGGGGAGCTGGTAAGGATAAGCACTTGGAATTCAAAATACAACGACCCCTAGTTTTGCTTATTTTGATAAAGATCTTCGAGGTTGACAAATATAGCCAAAAGGGACTTAAAGCTTAATTAATTCAATGACAATAGCCAAATACACAATTGGAGGTTGACAAATTTGTCTGTGGCTTGGTTGGTTTAAATGTCAAATCCCATTGAGGGTGCTTTTGGTAACGTGAATGGTTTTATTTCTTAAAATAAAATAATATACTTTTGCCAAATCAGCAAAACTGATGTGGTATACCTTTGTTTTATTTAAAAAAAAAAAAAAAACCAAAACCATTTACATTGTCGAACAAACCCCTTGATTTATAGTATTATAAGAATATGATCGCTCTGGATGCTCAAGCTGTATGCAGAGACTGGTTCGTTGGTGTATTAGCTGATTTGTTCATGTGGAATCGAATGTTACAATAAGCACCTTGGAGAAAAAAGGGGGTATTACTTAATGGTGCATGACACCGAATACAAAAATAAATACTTGCAGAGAGTAAAGGTGACTTTACTTTTCATGAAACAGAAGGATTAAAGCATGAGAGATGCATGTAGGATTGTAGACAAAAATAAAGAGAATGAAGTAAATGGTGAAGAATCAAATCTAGCATTTAAAGCCTTGGAGCTGAAACTGAAAATTCAAATTCAATTAAATTGATTCAGCTTCTTTGAAGCGCTCTAGATAAGCTATTCAAAGAGGATGAATGTGTCATTTCAAGTCCGGGTCAGGGTAGATACGGTGTGTAGAACCAGCCCTCAACCAGATACTAAAGGTCTGTTCTTTATTAATGGGAATTAATAGGTCTGACCCCTATAAATTGGCAATAAACCTACAAATTTATTAAATTGATTCATTTGGACATGATCATGATATATTTACTGCCCAGTTTGTTTGTAGGTAAACATGTATAGGAAAGTTGGTCTATGGATAACTTTTTCTTATTGACCAATTTTTTTATGTTCTTTTTGTATTAAATAGTGAGACCCACCTTTATTTTTTTGGGTAAAACTTATCCACCTCCTAGGTAGGTAAATAACTTTTCTACATAGGAGAAATTCTTGTAAAACATGATGAAACCATTTTGCCCATCTTAATATTTACTTTTTTGTGGATAGAAATGTCATTTTATTATTTACCTAGGAATCCTGAAAATCAAAAGAATATGGATAAGTGCACTTACCTATGAAACATTTAACTGTAAGAAAGGTTCAAATTATCGGAA